TGATTAGATACCGTAATAATATACATGTATAGGGATAAAATGAACATTGTCCAACATTTAGGACAGCATGAATGCAAGACAGTTACTTTCATAATGTTTCTTTTACGGTCAATGTGTTAATGCCTTTGAAGCATGGTGCTTGATTTCTGTTTCACTGGAAATTTCCATATTGTCAGTGCTGTTCTTGTTCTTACCATGTTTATACTAATTAAACTAATAATTAGTCATGATTCCATATACACAACATGTATCTCAAATAGAAATCTAAATCAGAATTCTCCTTGAACTGAGCTTTGCAATACATTTAACATTAAACAATGTTTGCGTGACTCTATTATCTAGAAAAATCCAATATATTTACATGGTTTCAGATCATTCGTCAAACATACACGACAAAATTAAAAGTATTAATATTTAATGTCACATTGGATTTTGACTTCAAAGGTTTGTTATAGCGATTTCCTAATAAGTACAGCATAGATTTTTTTTGCAAATTTCATGTATAGTTGTGCCTGTTTAGTTTGGGACTGATCAGAAAAAACAAAATGGCCAACAAACAGCCATCTTGGAATTCGCATAGTAAAGATTGCTATCCCTATTTCATAAGTAGTACTGAATGGATATCCTAAGTATGTTCCCTTCGATCACTACATGTGCCCGTTTGATTAAGGGACAGATCAGAAGAAACAAAATGGCTTCAAAACACGCATGTTGGATTTGGCGGGTAAATATGATCATCACTATTTCTGCAAAGGAATGTTCAAATTTCTTATCAATAAGAGCAATAGCATAGAAAAGAAAAAGAAGGTAAAAGATCTTTCAAAGACCAAATGAAGATCAAACAATGGTGGGCGCAAAGATCCTTCAGATATCTCTTCTTGTCAAATGTGACCCGCGAAAATGAAACAAAAGGTTGATCTTGTCAGTCTCATTATGAATTAGAAACTTAATCAATACCTGTGCAAAATATAAACAAAAGAAACATTTACACAGAGACTCACGGAAAAGCACAAGGGGAATAAGACCAGATGTTCTTCTGCGTCAATGACAACACCTGTCATGTAGATATTTCCCAAATATATTATACTGTTCTTTGAAAAACTGCCATAGTTGATTTCGTAGGAGGAAATCATGGCCTGGTGTCCAGCCTAGGTTGATAAAACAACTGCTTTTCTCCATTGCCACAAATTTGTTTAATAACAGTAAGGGATATTTGATTTATTGATTAGATACCGTAATAATATACATGTATAGGGATAAAATGAACATTGTCCAACATTTAGGACAGCATGAATGCAAGACAGTTACTTTCATAATGTTTCTTTTACGGTCAATGTGTTAATGCCTTTGAAGCATGGTGCTTGATTTCTGTTTCACTGGAAATTTCCATATTGTCAGTGCTGTTCTTGTTCTTACCATGTTTATACTAATTAAACTAATAATTAGTCATGATTCCATATACACAACATGTATCTCAAATAGAAATCTAAATCAGAATTCTCCTTGAACTGAGCTTTGCAATACATTTAACATTAAACAATGTTTGCGTGACTCTATTATCTAGAAAAATCCAATATATTTACATGGTTTCAGATCATTCGTCAAACATACACGACAAAAGTAAAAGTATTAATGTTTAATGTCATGTCTGCCTATCATATATTAACATCTTATATGTACTGCCTCGATTCACTTACATGCTTCTTATTCAACCTACATGTATAGCCATGACTAAATTATTGATCAATTCGATAAAACGGAACTTTTATTACGATTTTGGTACAGTTGATAAAATCCATAATTGCACAAAAGTTCATTTTTAATTGTTTATATCATGAGACTGAGTAGGCGGATGGAATACTGCTGTCAGTTTATGTCGAAGAGGTAGCACTCTCAAGTAAACAAGACAAGTGGCTTTTTCAAAATGGACAAAATCGCTGAACGAGCAATTCATTGAATAATACTTGTATCGGAAAGGTCTAGCACCTAAGTATATCCATACAGATATGGTAACAATACTAGGGAACGATGCCCTTCATATGCTACAGTAATAAGGTGGTTGGCAGAATTTAAGAGTGGAAAGCAGAGCCTTGGCAGTGATGCCCGTCCTGGAAGGCCTGTCACTGTTGCAACCCAAGAAATGGTCAATTCAGTCCATTATATTGTTATGGTTAATAGGCGAGTTACAGAGACATATATAGCCAGTACATTTGGTATTTCACTAGAAGGAGTACATTTCATTATTACGGGAAGTTCTTGCAATGAAAGATCTCTAATCCAGTTGGGTACAAAGACTTCGGACAGTTGATCAGAAGCACACCGTGCGGACTTGTCACGTGCTAATCTGAACCTTTTAGAGGCAGATACTGCAGAGGTTTGTGACTGGATGAAACGTGGGTCCATCATTTCACCCCAGAGACCAACCAACAGTCAAAACAATGGAGCACCCTGGTCCCCCCCCCCCCGTCCGCCAAAGAGCCCGCGCGAAGACTATTCCATCAGCTGGAAAGGCTATGACCTCGTTTTTCTGGGATGCTGATGGTATTCTGATGGTAGATTATCTGCAGAAAGGGACAAACAATCAAGGACACATATGATGCATCACCTCTTAGGCATTTAAGAGAAAATGTTAAACTCAAGCGCCGTGAAAAACACGGTAAAGGTGTGTTGTTCCACCAGGATAATGCCCCTGTTCACGTCAAGTATGTCATTACCATGGCTGCCATTAACGATTGTTGCTTTGAATTGATTGATTATCTACCTTAATCGTCTGATCTCGTCCCATGAGACTTTCATTTATTTCCAAAATCGAAAAAGGCTATTTCCGGTACCCACTTGAGGTCAGAAACCCCACACTGTCCACTTCAAGATAGACCAATTTTACCAAGGATTTATTTTTTAAATTTTGATTAAAACCTTTACAATGGGGTAATCTAATGAACAAAATATCACGTATGGTCACACCGAGAAACCATGTACTACTACCATATGCAACCCTTAAAGTACAGAAAACGCCATTTTATATAGCTTCAATCTGGATAATGAGTTTAAAACATATTCCGGTCAACTCATTCGGATTAATGTGCAAACTAAAAACATAAAACAATAAAATTTCGGAATACAGTAATTTACATTATGCTGTAAAATATTATATAATCAGATAACTCATAGACCAGTACAACATATACATAACAGTATGATACGTGATAAAATTCTTTTTCTGACAATCTACACCGTCAAGCTGGAATTATTGATATATCATATTGTTTGTGTGTAGTTGCGGAAGAGTTGAGTCTAAAATTGTTTCACATTGTAATATGAATTTGTACATCAAACGGAATATAATATTTTTCAGGGTGAAAAAACATTTGCCAGAGATAGAAGGGTAAGTGTAGATAGTCGATAAACTGCGTTTCTGGTTAAGTGGTTTACTGACGTTGCATACTATTCAATAAAGTGAGTTTAACACGTGGTAAAGATCGCGTCACATCAATTTGTGCGTTTGACCATATGCTGGTTTCAATTTTAGACTTGATACAGAAATAATAATATACCAACATGTTTTCAAAATGATCATTAAAATTCATAATCGATGAAAGGCGATTAAAATATTAGGGAGAATACAAGACATGAGACCAGGTGTTCCGGAGCGGAAACGCCTTATTTCACTATACTAAATTATATAATTGGGTGGTCACATTGCACAAGGATATTCCCGGAACGGTCGACCAGGTAATTTTTTTCCCCTTCCAACAAGAGTCATATAACTTGTTTCGCAATTGTTCTTAAATAAATAAAGTTGATATAGATACTAAAATGTGGTCAAAAATTTTTATAACAACGAAAACGCAATATATATTAATTTAACTTCATTTGAATATATTAATTTAACTTCATTTGAAATAACTAGAATTTTCTCTCTTTTGTTTTCGTTACTGGTATGCCAATTGCTTCTTTTTTTAACAGATATCTTTGCTGTTATCTCAAAAGCAATTTACACAACAGTAAACAACGAAAATGACAAAAATCCTCCATTTTTTCATTTGCAGTTGAAATTTTGACATCTACTGAACACAAATGATAATCGTTATTCGTTGGACTTTATGTTCACTGACAGAAAAGCCCGCCAACAGAGTTGGAAAACAACCCTAAATCCCTTAACAGTGTTTTTATGAAATGAGCCGCAGCACACGACGTTATCCAATCCTGATCTCCTCAAAGGCAGAGTCATAATGCAGTGTATATCATCACATCCTTTCTCGATAGTCGATATATCGATAAATTTGATGTTCCGTTTCCCTAAAACTTCCCAATACTGGTAACACACTATAATGATTCATGTAATCCTTTCGGATAACACCAGCTTCAGATTATAAATCCAAATAATGGAGCTTGTTTCAGTCTTATTCAATGAGATTTGTAAAACTAGTCTTCCTTCCTTCCTTCCGTCCCCTTTTTAACCTTCAGAGCGTTTCATAAACTGAGAGGAAATGGGAGCAAATGAAAGATTCTCTTTATCACATAACATAGATATTTATTCAAATATTGTTTGGTAAAATCATGAATGTTTTTTTTTTCTTTTTAAACTGTACCTGTTTCAAAGTGTAAGCAAGTAGTAAAATACCCAGATATCACAACGTAAATATATATTGATGAAAATACAGCCCACACTAAATATCGATCCTTTCTTATTTTTATAGAACATCTAAAACATAAATGCTTTCCTGATACGCATCATTTAAACTGCGGCGAGGTCAATTTCACAGCCATTTTGTAGTGACTTGCGGATTTATTCACATTTAATTTATGTATGTATATATATATATGATTTAGGGATGTAAGCAAATGTCGATCATTAACACATATTGACAAGACTCTGTAGTCTTGAGAAAGGTTTAATTACTGTGAGAAATATTTCTTCATACAAACATTGTTTTAGGCAAGCTTCATCTCTCTCGTTTCGACAAATTCTCGTCTGTCCAGGACAACAACAATTGAGGTCATAATACAACAAGACAGTAGAGTAACATACCTAATTTTTCAAGAGTGCTATCCTGAGTGCTATCAAACATGCACTATGTCAAAGAACATTTCATTTGACATTCCCGTTCAGACTTTTTATAGTATCTATACAATGTTGATGCGTCGATCAATACAATTGTCCCAAACAAGGCGACTAGGACGCATATCCCTATAACACCGACGGATGTGGCGCTGGTCCTGTTATCAGGAGCGCTGATAAGTTTTCGTCTGGACAAACTGGTGGTGTCCTTGGCTAGCTTAAGTTGCTTCTTCAAAGTATTTAGCAGTTCCATTTTTTCTTCTCTGCTCAGTGATGTTGACCCATTTCCCCATTCAGTATTCTTTAAACACGCTGGGACGTACCCTGACATTAACAGGTTCTTTTGGTGGGCAAGCGAGGAGGGAATGATCCCGCGACGACCAACTGTAGTGTTCAGTGAATTCTCGTCACAGAGGCAGGTTATATTTCCTATGATGCTTTCAGTCGAAAATTCAGTTCCATCAACCAGGCTGGAGGTGGTGTATTCCGATCCAACACCCGAACCGAAAGTGCCATTTGTAGAACCATCGGTTGCTCTTGAGGTTGTTTCTAGAACAAGCAATGTATTCACTACCGTTTAAATGATCACACTACCAAGAGATACAGAATTAACTTTGTGTCTAAAATACGACAATAGAGTATACAATAATCAATAAATTATCGTTCGTCTATGATTCATTTGCATGAATGGTTTTTACCTTGTTCGGTTGTTGTAGCCTCGGTGACAGAAATGGTTGAGGTTTCTGCTTCAGTCGGAGTATTCGTTGTTGAAGTAGATGTTGTTTCTGTTGGAAATAAAGTGTAATTTGATATTTGCTTTCACTACTCAATTATATTCAAATAACTTCAACAATTAAAAGCCTGACAAAAGGGATAGGAAAATTTCAACCTCAGTTCTAGACAGTTGACAATAAATCAAACAATTAGCTATGAACAGAAATCTGATTATGTAAACTGAGTATCTATATTGCTTTATTACAAAATATATATTATAACGGAATTATTTCCTATTAAAGTTTCTTTTCAATCCGCTATTCGTCCCCCTTATATATTTACCAAAGGATGACAACTGCTAATGCAGGCCGTATAACTATTAGGTACCATAATCATCCGTTACGTCAGGAAACCCAATTTATTCCATCATCAATTGGTAAACGCGTGTTTCCTGTGGCCAAAATACATCTCAAACCATTCATGAGAATAAGAAATATTTTGAGCTTGATATAATTATAGAAGGGCTTTTCACCTGGTTTTGCGGTTGTTGTAGACTCGGTGAAAGAACTGGTTGTGGTTTCTGCTTCAGTCGGAGTAGTCTTTGTTGAAGTAGAAGTTGTTTCTGTTAGAAACAAAGTGTTATTAGATATTTTCTTTCAGTACTCATTTATAGTCGAATAATTTCAACTATCAAATGCCTTTAAAGTTCCTTTTTATCCGCTATTCGTCCCCTTTTGTATTTACCAAAGGGTGACAACTGCTAATGCCACACTGTGATAGTTATTATTCATAGCTAAGTAAGGGAGTTAAGAATATATCCGCAAAGGCCATAGTACCTTTTATGTACCACAATAATCCCTTACGTTATGACACTCCATGTATCCCACCATCACTTGGTAATGACTTTTTTCCTGTGTCAAAATTATATCCTTTACCATTCATTAATCATATTGTGCTTTGTAAGAGACATAATGGCTAAACATTATTTTCAAATAGGAAATATGTTATGCTTGATAAAATTATTAAAGTACTTTTTACCTTGCCTTTCAGTTGTTGTAGACTTGGTGAAAGAAATGGTTGAGGTTTCTGTTACAGTCGGAGTAATCGTTGTTGAAGGAGATGTTGTTTCTGTCAGAAATAGTGTTATTAGATATTTCCATTCAGTACTCATTTATCTTCAAATAATTTTAACAATTAAAAGCCTGACTAATTGAAGATATTGTTAAAATCACTAGGCGAAAAGAAATCCACCTTATCGTTTCGATCACTCTAGTGAAAATGTTATGAAAGTGGATTTTTTTTTTTTTCATTATTTTTTTTCTTGTGAGTATTGTGGCCCATGCAGAAAAGTTATGGAAAGGCACCTTATTTTTCTGGTGTTGTAGCATTTGTTAACGACAACTGTAAATAATAAAAATAGTAATGCATAAAATCTGATTATGAACATTTTGCACCATCGCAAGGGATATGTTAAAATGAAATTTACTTCCATTAAAGTTTTCACTCAATCTGCTATCCGTTCGCCTTTGTATTTACTAAAGGGGACAAATGCTATTGCCACATTGTGACAGTTTTCATTGCTCACATATTTTCTTTGAATAACACGTCAATATTTCTAATTGCCTATAACACACATGGATGGAACTTTCTTAATCACTGGCCTCAAAGAGTTGTTGTTTTAAAAGCTTGTGGCCTTTGCATTTGGGGAGTTAAGGATATATCCGCCATGGCCGTATATTACCTTTTAGTACCAAAATCATCTATTAAGTCATGAAAACCCCATTTATCCCAGCAATACTTGGGAAACACTTCTTTCCTGTGTAATGAATACTTCCAACATCATTCATAAATCATACAAAGAATTGATTTAGGTCAAGATTATTTACAATGGTTTCATAAACTCGTTAACGCATTAGTTACCTTGCTTTTCAGTGGACGGCGAATTGAATGAAGAGATGTAAGTTGCTCCCTTGTCATTCAGTTAATTCGTCGTTGAAATGATGTTCATATACGAATTTTAATTTGATTTTTTATTGTTAATCAGATTATTACGATTTTGCCATGCGTTACGGATAGAGGTAATTTTTCAAGTCGTGATATCATGATATTTACGTCAATGATATTGGCATAACCTTGGCGAAAAGTTTTTGTAGATACAATTCTGTGTACACTTGATCCTTGATCAGTATTATTGTTCCAAACGTCTGTGTCCATACAACGAACCTACCAAAGATACTACAGAAAACCTTCTCGCGTTATTGATTTTCACGAAGAATGAAACAACAAGTATCCACCGAAAGGTTAGAAGTGTGTCATTACAGATGATATGAGCAGATGATAATGAGTTACATAAATATATGATAATGTTCGTTTCCATTTCCCATAATTCTTTCATGCTATGTTTCGTTGCTAAAGTATTTCAAGCTAAGTTTATATTTAGTACCATACTAGCATGAGCCTTGATTTAAATTAGGCGTAAATGCAAAATACCTTTTTGTGTTTGGCAGATAAATGAACCCGTCCTCTTACAACGTCTCGTCCTCATTTCACCTTCATAAAGCCTGACACATTTTGCTGAGGCACAATCATCAGGTTCTTCCGGGTGCCATATGTACCAGGTTGCCACGACACCATCGCTCCAGGTATAGTCTGAACAATTATCTGTTGTTGTGTGTAAGCCAGTCCAAATAGCGCGTTCAGATCTAAAACACAATATCACGGTCGTAATCTAATATCAAACATGTATTCAGTGGTAACTTTTGAGAAGTATCTTAAAAGATTTCATTTTGATAAAGGGTTAGTATAAAGATTACTCAGAATTACCTGCAATTAGAGACATATTCTTAACAAAACTGATGTCTCAAAAAGTGTTCTACCATAAAGGTGTCTTTACCACAGGTGTTACTTTAATTATGTTGTTAATGAGACTGATCACCCAACATATGTCCTTGATACATATGCTTTCTAAACATTTTGGTGAAATCTTATCAAATTTACTGTTCTGGAAATGACTTCATATAAATAATTAGTATAAACCTTATTCAAGATCTGCTTAAGCTTGCTATTTCGGAAAAATCTCCGAATTTTATGCTTTAGTATTTTATACATAGTATTTCATGGCTATCAAACGGTGATATATTTCTCTCATCTTGAGATTGTTATATTTCAAAATTTTTACCTAATAGGACATTTTAGATTACACGAGACATCAACAGCTGCGAGAAGTACGCAAGTTAAATTTTACGTCTGAACTGTTATCAATTTTTATGTCCATTCCTGCTACAAATGTGATAAGCTTACATGTTGTCTCCAAACAATGTATGTAACTGATCCAGTTCCTGCTGGCTGTTTATCTTCAACAGTATCATACCGTCATCTTCACATCTTTCTTCAGCTTTAATCCACGATAATTCATAATCGTGGAGAATGTAGGTGTAGCTAGCTGTAATGATTATTTATGGAAGACAAGATTTATCAATATTATTTTACAACAATATTGGAACAAGTTATATCAACGTATATTCATCACTCTTGTTTGCCCGGTTGTAATTTTTTTGTTAAAGTGGAATCAATCTGGAACAAGGTTAATCTAAGAAGAGCGGCGTGATATTTAGTACAGAAGCTTTCGATTTCAAAACTGGTTATGCGTGACCTTATAGTTGACCAATGGCCACCAGAATTCGATCAGATTTAGAAATAAATAGTGTGATGTGAATATGAACTGATGTGAAGTTCATGAGATTATGAGTTAATACAGCTTTGTGCTACGCACTTACGAAGCGAGTATTGTAAACCGACGTTTTGGAGTGAGAGTGTAATGACTTATCGGTGCTAATAATATCACACGTTACATATGTTTTAAATTGTTTATAAACGCGAGAACGAAATAACATTGAATACTTAAAAAAATGTATGAATTTTCAAGACATACTTTACCTTCCAAATAATTAGCAGCTTGTAAAGCAACAACCACGACTATTATACCAAAGCGACAGATTATCTCCTGTTTAGTCATGTCTGTCTGTCTCCATACAATGTTATACTGCTTTCCAAGTCCAAACAGATGTTTATTTGACTGTTGCCGAGATATTACGTATTGAAGTACTGATCCGTTTCTCAGTTCCATTATGTCTATATACATTATCAATGAAAAACCTGCATCGGTAAAACATAGTAGTGAATTTGTCAAGTGAAATCATGTATAAAATTACGGAAAGCATCAAAGGATGTCTGAAAAGTGAATTTCCCAGAATGATCCAATGAGGATGAAGTGTGCTGTTTAGTGAAGTCTCACGACAGTGATTAGTGCCATTAATTCTGGGATGTTTCTAGAACAAATGATATACACTTTATATATTCACAAACGTCTAAACACTCACATTACCTATAAATTATCGTCGAAAATATAAAAGTGAAGTAATAAGTTATCAAAGAATTATTGTTTGCCTGTGCTTCATCTGCATGAATGCGTTGATAAAATTATTGAATGTTTTTCACCTTGTTTTACGATTGTTGTAGATTCGGTGAAAATGTTTATTTTTTGTTAAGAAATAATCCGATAAATAATTAGAAGTAGAAAACATTCCTGTTTAGAAATAATTAGATAATTGATGTTCAGCAGTCATTTATAGTAAGAAGAGTTAAACAATAAAACGTTTCACATTAAGTAGACACCACAAAACCAAAAAAGGAATGTCCATTGAATTAAAATTAAATTTCTCTTTATGCTTAAACTCAGTGATCATCATATCAACACAAAATCGAATAATTTGGGCTCTCATCTATCTGACTGATACCTTGGTTATAGGCCCAGCTCTATGGGTATTCATCTGTTCAGGACGTATATCATTTCTTTCACTAGTGTTTAAATTAAGTTATACTAAAGCCAATTGACACGGGATTGAAGGTTTGGTTAAAGCTTCGGGTTAATATCGTGTTTACACTAATAGCGTTTATCAAATGAAAAGTCGATGTTGACTGAGCGAGAATTCACCAGGGAAATCTATGGGAGAGAGATTTTTCTGATTAAAAGCCTTTTGCATAAGGCCATGTTGATGAGCTAGTCGTAGCAAAGATGCTATCATTAACCTTTGACCTTTTATTGAGATATAAAACATTCATACATTTATTCAAAAGTTATCTTTCCATTACTATTGTAATAGGAAAAGTAATAAAAAAAATGCCCTTGGATTCGAAATAGCGACACTTTGGCCTCTAAAGCCGGACACTCTCCCATTTGAGTAAGGAGAAATTTCCACGAGTTACTAAGGCAATCAGTATGAAGACCAACACATCTGTGTCGCCTCACCTCTAGCGAAGGCCTTCGTATATTGCACCAGGACAAAGGCAAAAGCCCCTTACTCGGGGTCCAGAGGCAAATCTTCGGCAATGTGAGTTAGGATGAAAGACACACACCAACTTTAACTTGGAAAGAAATCTTGGTAATGATCGTTTGAATCTTCGCTATTTTCTAGGTAAGTAGGCCATATACTTCACTTATTTTATGTCGCCTTATTGGGTTTATGTATTAGGTTTTACCTACATACCAAGGCAAATCTGTATCGTTCTGCTTTACAGTTACATGGTAAATTTCATATATCGGATAATTTAAGAACAGCGTGTAAAATACATGTGTATATTCTTAATGTACCATTAGTGGGATGAATTAAAATGTGGCATGCAGGTTGAGTTAGGGACTAAAGTTCACTAATAATATCTACAACTTGTAATTTCGAAGATTATACAAAAGACACTTAAGTAAATAACACTTTGTCATTTATCTTACAGGATCGGTGTCTTTTAGGAGAGGTGGAAAGCTAAAAAAATGTTTTCTTCTATGAAATGGTGATTTCTTAGAAAAGATGATCGTGCATGAGAATTGGTCTCACATAAAATGTAGTTTCTCAGAAGAGTTGGTTAAAGTTAGAAGAGATGACATTTTAGAATGTCAATCTCTTTTAAAAGTTGAAGATCTGACTTGGGAATACTGTAAAGTTTAAAGTGAGATTTCATCTTTGATAATGTTCACGAGAGGTAGTATCTATCTTACCTAATGAAACATTAGTGTTATTCATCAATAAGCAACGAATACTTTATCTATTACATTATTACAGCTTCCCTGGATGCCAGGATATCAGATAAATACATTACAGTTATGTGAAACTTTCCTCATATTTTATAGTGTTTCTACCAGAGTAGTCGTTCCTTTAGTCCACAGTGCACTCCAAGAGAATCCTACATACCCTTAAACTTAACATTTACATTTTGTTACAGAGCCTGCGTCTCAGGACTTTCAGAACTTTGATTAAAAAAATTTCGTATCAATATTTTCGATTTCCGTATTTAGTTGTGACAGTTTTAAAATCGACTGTTTTGTTAGAAATAAAATGACATCAAATTAAAGAATTGTTCCTTAGCTTTTATGTTGCTAGTAAGAAGAGCAGCAGCCACGAAAAGGGACAAATCTTCTCCCTCATCCCAGTACACAGTTAATGGTTTACTTCAGTATATATCATTTACACTGTTCCCTGTTACTGGATGATTCCGAGGAATCGACCTAAACATCTACCAGTCAGAAATCCCATGGGAAATTTCATGGTCGTTTTATAGTGAATGATATGTATGATATTTGATAAAATACTTATCTGCCAATCTTCATATTCTAGGTAAATCATTGATATATCATCTTGTATGTGGTTGCGGTTGAGTTGATAACAATCGTCTCACAATGTACCTAAAAATCAGGCGCGCATGTACGTCAAACGGAATATGATATTTTCAGGGCGAAATTACATTTGTCAGAGATAGAAGAGTAAGATTAGATAGTCGGTAAACTGCGTTTGAGTTGTTGTAGTACGTGGTTTACTGACGTTGAATGCCATTCAATAAAGTTAATTTAATCCGTGGAAACAAGTTTACAAAATCATATTTCAAATTCGTAATCGATGAAAGGAGATATATTAACGTGCCGGGGTGCCGGGGATATAAATGGGTCACCGCATAAACTTATGGCAGCTAATACATACAGATAATGAGATATGTTTTACTCCCTAGTAACATTACTACTCCCTAGTAACACTACTAAACACATACTGAATATGTACAACGTCACTGAGTATCTCTTTGAACCTAATGTTTAAACAATAATATTGACCACTATATACAGTATGTATCTAGTCGTGATCAACACTGAAACGTTGAGCTATCACTATACATGCAACCTAGGACCGCCGGCCACTGTGTCGTGTTCACTATGACAGTATACAAACCCGGGCTCTGCCTGTACAGCGCTAGCTTAACTATGTACAACCTTAGTCATAAGTACTTACGACATACTCGTTGTAATGATACCCCGAGCTTTATGCCCACGACGCGATATGTCATGATACAACACCAAAGTAGGAGCTTATACACTAGCCATAACACCGTTATATCTGGTAACGACACAGGTCAAGACAAAGCTTATAGAACTATCCCTCTATGCCTAACAACCACCAAGTAGTATAAACTATGACTGCGATGTCAGCGCCACGACTAGCTTCGAGAGAATGACACTCGCTGTCTGCTGCCTTCCGTTTATACCAAGAAGTGGGATGGGGTGGGGCAGGGGGGGGTGTCGGGGGGTCGGAGGGGGAGTTGGGGGATGGGTTCAAGTTGTGATTACAAAAAACTAATCATTGGTCACAGACACGCTAACAGACAAAAAAGCGTTCAGCTGACGTCAACCAATGTACGGATAATTATTTACACACATAACACTTGTCACAAACAGGAAAGTAAGGAGTGTCATCGCCACAATAGGAGGGAGAATACATCACACCAAGTGTTCGGGAGCGGTAACACCGATATAATAAATTGTGATTTAAAAACAAAACAATTAGAAAATACGAACATGTCAACGCAATCATGATTCAAACTCACATTTAATAAAACTAGGGCAAAATATTAACAAAACAGAATAAGCAGAAAAGGAACGATACGAATAAGACCAGGTGTTCGGAAAGAGTAAGCATCTTCCGCTTGATCGTCGACATCCGCCATGCATACCTTGGTCTATCCAATTAAGTTATGTTATGTTCGTAAGTAAGAACAAGATGCACAAGGACGGAAGCAACAGATAAAAGAAACGAGCATCAAACACATCTAGCTTTAAATTGCACCAAGAAATAGAATATTTGAGATTAATATGAAGACAGTTATTCATCATTGTCATTAACCTGCGTTCTTTGAAACCTTTTGTTACAAGTTTGTCCTTAAACTGATGACTTCTTGCACGATAATCATGATAATTGAGCAGGCCCGTGAACACCGAATCAACTGCAACATGTAAACTTTCAATTCGGGATGCAGGGACTCCAAACAAGAAGTGGAAAATTCACAATAGTAAAATTAAATTCATACTGCTTTGCACCAACGCTTTGAGTGCTATCAAGCATGTCTTGTCTAGTTCAAATATGCACTATGTCACAGGGATTTTCATTGGACATTCCTTTTCAGGTTTTATAGTTTGTATACAATGTTAATGCATCGATAAACACAACAGTCCCAAAGAAGGCGACTAGGACGCATATCCCTAAAACACCGACGGATGTGGCGCTGGGCCTGTTGTCAGGAGCGCTGATACGTTTCCGTCTGGACAAACTGGTGGTGTTCTTGTCTATCTTCAGTTGCTTCTTCAAAATATTTAGCAGTTCCGCTTTTTCTTCTCTGTTCAATGATGTTGACCCATTATCCCATTTGATACCCGCTAAACATGCTGGGACGTACCCTGCCTTTAACAAGCTTCTTCGGTGGGCAAGCGAGGACGGAATGATTCCGCGCCAACGAACTGTATTGTTCAGTGAATTCTCAGCACAGGGGCAGGTTGTATTTCCTATGATGCTTTCAGTCGAATATTCAGTTCCATCAACGACGCTGGAGGTGGTGTATTCCGATCCAGCACCCGAACCGAAAGTGCCATTTGTAGAACCATCACTTGCTCTTGAGGTTGTTTCTAGAGCAAACAATATGTTCAGTTAAGCTTGAATTTTCACGCTACCAAGAAATATAAAATGAAATAAACAATGAAAGTGGAACTTATCAATGAATTTTTGTTTGTCCATAATTTATCTGTATGGAAGCTTGATGAAATTATGGAAGGACTTTTTACCTTGTTTTTGGGTTGTTGCAGCCTCGGTGAAAGAAATGGTTGAGGTTTTTGCTTCAGTCGGAATATTCTTGGTTGAAGTAGAAGTTGTTTCTGTTAGAAGAAAAGTGTAATTAGATTTAGTTTTGGTGCTCATTTACAGACAAATAATTTTAACAATTCAAAGCCTAACAAAATGGATAGGGAAAAAATGTAACCTCTGCTATTGACAGTTGGAAATAAATCAAGCAATCAGCTATGAACAGAAATCTGATAATGAAAACTGATTTTCCTGTTTGCTTTTTATTACACAATGTATATTAAAACGAAATTTATTCCTATTAAAGTTCCCCTTTAATCGCTATTCGTCCCCCTTTTGTATTTACCCAAGGGTTACAACTGCTAATATCACACTGTGAAAGTTATTTTTCATAGCTTACAATGTTTTCTTCTTTTTTTTTTCTTTTTTTTTTTTCGAAAGAATATGTCAATATTTCTGAGTGCCTATAACACACATTGATGGAACTGACGATATTCTTAATCACTGGTCCCAAAGAGTTGTTGTTTTAAAAGCTTGTGTCCTGTGCAGTGGGGGAGTTAAGGATTTATCCGGTCCGGCCATATATATCCTATTAAGTACCATATTCATGTATTAAGTCATGAACACATTTATTCCATCATCACTTAGTAAACAATTGTTTTCCGTGTAATAGATATACCCCAAGCATTCATAAATCCTATAGTGTTTTATTCGAGACAGAATTCTTAAACATCGTTTACAAACACGAAATATTTTGTGCTTGATAAAATTATGGAAGTGCTGTTTACCTTGTTGTTTGGTTGTTGTAGACTCGGTGACAGAAATAGTTGAGGTTTCTCTTTCAGTCGGAGTAGTCTTTGTTGAAGTTGATGTTGTTTCTGTTAGAAACAAAGTGTTATTAGATATTTTCTTTCACTATTCATTATAGTGAAATAATTTTAACAATTAAAAGCCTATAGGATAGGAAAATGTCAACCTCTGTTACAATAGGACCTATATGATACGACAGTCATCTATTACGTCTGGAAACATCGTTTATTCCATCATCACTTAGTAAACACTTGTTTTCCGTGTAATAGATATACCCCAAGCATTCATAAATCCTATAGTGTTTTATTCGAGACAGAATTCTTAAACATCGTTTACAAACACGAAATATTTTGTGCTTGATAAAATTATGGAAGTGCTGTTTACCTTGTTGTTTGGTTGTTGTAGACTCGGTGACAGAAATGGTTGAGGTTTCTCTTTCAGTCGGAGTAGTCTTTGTTGAAGTTGATGTTGTTTCTGTTAGAAACAAAGTGTTATTAGATATTTTCTTTCACTATTCATTATAGTGAAATAATTTTAACAATTAAAAGCCTATAGGATAGGAAAATGTCAACCTCTGTTACAATAGGACCTATATGATACGACAGTCATCTATTACGTCTGGAAACATCGTTTATTCCATCATCACCTGGTAAACGGTAGTTTCCTGTGACATAAATACATCCCAAACAATTCATGCATCGTTTAGTTTTTTGTACGAAAGAGAATACCTAAAGATTATTTACAAATATGAAATATGTTGTGTTTGAGAAAATTATGGAAGGGCTTTTCACCTTGTTTTTCGGTTGTTGGTGTATCGGTGATAGGAATGGTTGAGGTTTTTGTTTTAGTCGGAGTATTCTTTCTTGAAGTAGAAGTTGTTGCTGTTGGAAATAATGTGTTATTAGTTATTTTCTTTTAGTAATCATTTATAAGAAAAAAAAATACTTTTAACAAATAAAAGCCTGAAAAAATGGATAGAAAAAAGTCAACCTCTCTTATAGGCAATTGGAAATAATTATAGAATTATCAATCATAAAAAAAAAAAAATAGAAAAAAACTCTCACAAGATATACGCTGAGTATTGTGCAAATTAACTGTTGTTGCTAAATACTCCAAGTCTGTAAAGATTTAATAAAAAAGAGCCATGTCTCTTTATCCATTCGGAATCAACAATAATTATTTTGAATGAAAATACATATAGAAAATTATTTTAGAAAGGATGACAATTGCTAAAGCCTCAATGTGGCAGCTATAGGTCATACCTTGCATATTTTTTTAAAGAACACGTCAATATTTCTTGTTGCCGATAATTCACATGGTTGTAACTTAATTGAAGATATTGATAAAATCACTGGACGCAAAGAAATTCACTTTATTATTTCGACCAGTCAAATGAAAATAATATAGAAGTGGATACATTAAAAATTTTAATCTTTTCTTTTGTGTTGTTGTTTTAAATGATTGTGGCCTATGCAGTGAAGGAGTTAAGGATGTATCCGCCCAAGGCAAATTAATCTTGCGGTAGCAAAATCATCCATTACGTCATAAAAAACCCAATTGATCCCATCATCATTTGGTAAACACTGTGTCATAAATACATACCAAACCATTCATAAACCGTGTAGTGTTTTGTATGAGACCGAATGTTATTATATACAATAACAACTATTTTTATAATTTCACGCGACCAGGATATATAGAATGAACTTTGAAACTAAACAATGAAAGTTAAACTTATCAAGAACTTATCAATTAGTTTTTTTTGTTTGTCTATAATTTATCTGCGTGAAAACTTGATCAAATTATGAAAGTGCTTTTTACGTTGTTTTTCAGTTGTTGCAGCCGCGGTGAAAGAAATGGTTGATTTTTCTTTTTCAGTCGGAGTATTCGTTGTTGAAGTAGAAGTTGTTTCTGTTAGAAATAAAGTGTCATCAGTAATTTTGTTTCAGTACTCATTTTTAGTCAAATAATTTAACAATTAAACAGATAAAGGATAGGAAAATGTCAACCTCTGTTACAGGCAGTTGAAAATAATTATAGAATTAGCAATCACAAAAATCTGAAAATATTTCTGACAAGCTATACACTAAGCATTTTTCACAATAACAGTTGTTGCTAAAAGCTCCAAGATTGAAAAGATTCAATAAAAAAGACCCATGGCTTTTTATCCACATTACCATAAAACAAAAGATTTTCAGGAATGAAAAAAATATATCGAAAATTATTTTTGAAAGGGAGAACATTGCTAATGTCACAATGTATCAGCTATATTTCATACCTAACATATTTTGTTTGAAAAGAACACATTACGTCATGAAACCCATTTTTTTCCCAACCATCACTTGGTAAAAACTTGTTTCCTGTGTCATAAATACATCCCAAACCATTCATAAATCGTGTAGTGTTTTGTACGAGACAGAATGCTATACCATTATTTACAAATAAATAATGTGTTATGCTTGATATAATTATAGGTTTTATTACCTTGTTTTTCGGTTGTTGTAGACTTGGTGAAAGAAGTGGTTGCTGTGTCTTTTCCAGCCCGAGTATTCCTTCTTGAAGGAAGTGTGCCTTCTGTTAGAAACAAAGCGTTTTAGTATTTTCTTTCAGTACTCATTAATGTTAAAACAATTTCAACAATTGAAAGCCTGACAAAAGATATAGGAACATTTCAACCTCATTCTAGACAGTTGAAAATAAATCAAACAATAAGCTATTCAGAGAAATCGTATGAAACCTGATTATTTTGATTCCTTTATTACACAATATATCTTAAAACGAAATTAATTAGAGTTCCTTTTCAATCCGCAATACGTCGCCCTTTTGTATTTACCAAAGGGTGACAACTGCTAATGCCACACTGTGACAGCTATTTTTCATAGCTTACAATTGTTTGAAAGATTATGTTAATATTTCTAATTGTCTATACACAACATGTATGTCACTTAATTGACGATATTTATAAAATCACTAGCCGCCCAGAGTTGTTGTTTTAAAAGACTGTGACCTATGTTAGTAAGGGAGTTAAGGATATATCCGCCCAGGCCGTATAACTATTACGTCAGGAAACCTCATTTATTCCATCATCAATTGGTAAACGCTTGTTTCCTGTGCCAAAAATACATCTCAAACCGTTCATGAGAATAAGAAATATTTTGAGCTTGATATAATTATAGAAGGGCTTTTCACCTGGTTTTGCGGTTGTTGTAGACTCGGTGAAAGAACTGGTTGGGGTTTCTGCTTCAGTCGGAGAAGTCTTTGTTGAAGTAGAAGTTGTTTCTGTTAAAAACAAAGTGTTATTAGATATTTTCTTTCAGTACTCATTTATAGTCGAATAATTTCAACTATCAAAAGCCTTTAAAGTTCCTTTTTATCCGCTATTCGTCCCCTTTTGTATTTACCAAAGGGTGACAACTGCTAATGCCACACTGTCACAGCTATTTTTCATAGCTTACAATTTTTTTTGAAAGATTATGTCAATATTTCTAATTGCCTATACACACATGTATGTAACTTAATTGACGATATCAATAACATCAATAGCCGCAAAGAGTTGCTGTTAAAGCTTGTGGCCTACGCAGTGAGGGAGTTAAGGATGCATCCGCCTGAGCCGTATTACCTAAACGATACTACAATCATCAATTACGTCATGAAAACCCCATTTATCCCACCATCACATGTTAAACACCTGTTTCCTGTTTCAAAATCACATCCCAAACCATTCATAAATCATATAGTGTTTTGTACGAGACAGAATGCTAAAACATCATTATGAATAAGTAATATGTTATGCTTGACATAATGATAGAAGGTTTTCACCTTGTTTTTTGGTTGTTGTAGACTCGGTGACAGAAACAGTCGAGGTTTCTTTTTCAGTCGGAGTATTTGTTGTTGACGTAGAAGTTGTTTCTGTTAGAATTTAAGTGTGATTAGACATTTTTTCAGCATTCATTTATAGTTAAACAGTTTAACAATTAAAAGGCTGACAAACTGCATAGAAAAATGTTTACCTCTGTTACAGACAGTTGAAATTAGTCACAAAACTCCGAAGATGATTCTAACAAGATATACACTAAATATTATTCACTATTTCTCTTGTAGCTAAATGTTGCAAGTTTGAAGAGATTCATTAAAAAAGACACATGGTTCTTTTTCCACTTTAAAAGTAAACAAAAAACTATTATGAATGAAAACTATATCAAGCTAATGCCAAAATGGGTCAGCTATATGTCATACCATTTTATAATTTTTTTGAAAAACACGTTTATATTTCTTGTTGCCTATAATACTATTGGATTCAACTTAATTGAAGATATTGATAAAATCACTAGACGCAAAGAAGTCCACCCTATTGTTTTGATCACTCATATGAAAATAAAATGGAAATTGATTTATTTCAAAAATTCTTTTCTTAAGTAGTTGTTTTCAAAGATTTTGGCCTATGCAGTGAGGGAATCAAGGATGTATCCGCCCAGGCCATATAACCTATACGATATGAGATAGAATACCTAAAGATTATTTAAAAATAGGAAATATTCTGTGTTTTTTTTAATTATGGAAGAGCTTTTCACCTTGTTTTTGGGTTGTTGGTGCATCGGTGAAAGGAATGGTTGAGGTTTCTGTTTTAGTCGGAGTATTCTTTGTTGAAGTAGAAGTTGTTTCTGTTAGAATTCAAGTGTTATTAGAAATTTTTTTCAGTGCTCATTTATATTCAAATAATTTTAAATTAAAATCTGACAAAATGGGATAGGAAATTTTCAACCTTTGTTCTAGACGGTAAATCTAACAATCAATTATGTAAAGAAATCTGATTATGAAAACTGATTATCTATATTGCTTAATTACAAAATATTTATTAAAACGAAATTACTTCCCATTAAATTTCCTTTTTATCCGCTATTCGTCCCCCTTTTGGATTTACCCTAGGATGACAACTGCTAATGTCACACTGTGATAGTTATTATTCATAGCTAAGTAAGGGAGTTAATATATCCGCAAAGGCCATAGTACCTTTTATGTACCACAATAATCCCTTACGTTATGACACTCCATGTATCCCACCATCACTTGGTAATGACTTTTTTCCTGTGTCAAAATTACATCCTTTACCATTCATTAATCATATTGTGCTTTGTACGAGACATAATGGCTAAACATTATTTTCAAATAGGAAATATGTTATGCTTGATAAAATTATTAAAGTACTTTTTACCTTGCCTTTCAGTTGTTGTAGACTTGGTGAAAGAAATGGTTGAGGTTTCTGTTACAGTCGGAGTAATCGTTGTTGAAGGAGATGTTGTTTCTGTCAGAAATAGTGTTATTAGATATTTCCATTCAGTACTCATTTATCTTCAAATAATTTTAACAATTAAAAGCCTGACTAATTGAAGATATTGTTAAAATCACTAGGCGAAAAGAAATCCACCTTATCGTTTCGATCACTCTAGTGAAAATGTGATGAAAGTGGATTGTTTTATTTTTCATTATTTTTTTTCTTGCGAGTATTGTGGATCATGCAGAAAAGTTATGGAAAGGCACCTTATTTTTCTGGTGTTGTAGCATTTGTTAACGACAACTGTAAATGATAAAAATAGTAATGCATAAAATCTGATTATGAACATTTTGCACCATCGCAAGGGATATGTTAAAATGAAATTTACTTCCATTAAAGTTTTCACTCAATCTGCTATCCGTTCGCCTTTGTATTTACTAAAGGGGACAAATGCTATTGCCACATTGTGACAGTTTTCATTGCTCACATATTTTCTTGGAATAACACGTCAATATTTCTAATTGCCTATAACACACATGGATGGAACTTTATTAATCACTGGCCTCAAAGAGTTGTTGTTTTAAAAGCTTGTGGCCTTTGCATTTGGGGAGTTAAGGATATATCCGCCATGACCATATATTACCTTTTAGTACCAAAATCATCTATTAAGTCATGAAAACCCCATTTATCCCAGCAATACTTGGGAAACACTCGTTTCCTGTGTAATAAATACTTCCAACATCATTCATAAATCATACAAAGAATTGATTTAGGTCAAGATTATTTACAATGGTTTCATAAACTCGTTAACGCATTAGTTACCTTGCTTTTCAGTGGACGGCGAATTGAATGAAGAGATGTAAGTTGCTCCCTTGTCATTCAGTTAATTCGTCGTTGAAATGATGTTCATATACGAATTTTAATTTGATTTTTTATTGTTAATCAGATTATTACGATATTGCCATGCGTTACGGGTAGAGGTAATTTTTCAAGTCGTGATATCATGATATTTACGTCAATGATATTGGCATAACCTTGGCGAAAAGTTTTTGTAGATACAATTCTGTGTACACTTGATCCTTGATCAGTATTATTGTTCCAAACGTCTGTGTCCATACAACGAACCTACCAAAGATACTACAGAAAACCTTCTCGCGTTATTGATTTTCACGAAGAATGAAACAACAAATATCCACCGAAAGGTTAGAAATGTGTCATTACAGATGATATGAGCAGATGATAATGAGTTACATAAATATATGATAATGTTCGTTTCCATCTCCCATAATTCTTTCATGCTATGTTTCGTTGCTAAAGCATTTCAAGCTATGTATAAAACAGTAAAGAAACACTAAAACTTCAATACATCATGACCAAATCTCAAATTCAATAAACCAGGGAGAAAATATTAACAAAGAAAGATTTTCATTCAGATTCAAGAAAAAATAATGGGGAAATTTGACCAGAGGTTTCAGAAGGGTAGATGTGTTCTGCTTCATCGACGACACCCAACATGTACATAATGGTCCATCCAAGAAAGAAATGTCGCATTCCCAAAGGTTAGCAACAACGGAGAAAATAAGTTTATATTTAGTACCATATTAGCATGAGCCTTGATTTAAATTAGGCGTAAATGCAAAATACCTTTTTGTGTTTGGCAGATAAATGAACCCGTCCTCTTACAACGTCTCGTCCTCATTTCACCTTCATAAAGCCAGACACATTTTGCTGAGGCACAATTATCAGGTTCTTCCGGGTGCCATATGTACCAGGTTGCCACGACACCATCGCTCCAGGTATAGTCTGAACAATTATCTGTTGTTGTGTGTAAGCCAGTCCAAATAGCGCGTTCAGATCTAAAACACAATATCACGGTCGTAATCTAATATCAAACATGTATTCAGTGGTAACTTTTGAGAAGTATCTTAAAAGATTTCATTTTGATAAAGGGTTAGTATAAATATTACTCAGAATTACCTGCAATTAGAGACATATTCTTAACAAAACTGATGTCTCAAAAAGTGTTCTACCATAAAGGTGTCTTTACCACAGGTGTTACTTTAATTATGTTGTTAATGAGACTGATCACCCAACATATGTCCTTGATACATATGCTTTCTAAACATTTTGGTGAAATCTTATCAAATTTACTGTTCTGGAAATGACTTCATATAAATAATTAGTATAAACCTTATTCAAGATCTGCTTAAGCTTGCTATTTCGGAAAAATCTCCGAATTTTATGCTTTAGTATTTTATACATAGTATTTCATGGCTATCAAACGGTGATATATTTCTCTCATCTTTAGATTGGTATTTCAAAATTTTTACCTAATAGGACATTTTAGATTACACGAGACATCAACAGATGCGAGAAGTACGCAAGTTAAATTTTACGTCTGAACTGTTATCAATTTTTATGTCCATTCCTGCTACAAATGTGATAAGCTTACATGATTTCTCCAAACAATGTATGTAACTGATCCAGTTCCTGCTGGCTGTTTATCTTCAACAGTATCATACCGTCATCTTCACATCTTTCTTCAGCTTTAATCCACGATAATTCATAATCGTGGAGAATGTAGGTGTAGCTAGCTGTAATGATTATTTATGGAAGACAAGATTTATCAATATTATTTTACAACAATATTGGAACAACTTATATCAACGTATATTCATCACTCTTGTTTGCCTAGTTGTAATTTTTTTTGTTAAAGTGGAATCAATCTGGAACAAAGTTAATCTAAGAAGAGCGGAGTGGTTTGGAAGGTGTCGCAATAAATGGAAATGAACACGTATTCCGAGCTAATGATTTTTTTGTTTGTATATCATTCGATACGAATGAGTTATGTAACATTTTCTGGCAAAAAAATTTGTTATGGAGTTGATAATATTTTGAGATTTTACCGCTTTGTCCTCTAGTCACTCGTAAGGGTGCACGCACACACTTAGTGATAACTATAAACCCACATTTTCAAAGTGAGAAAGTAATATGCCTTTTTCGGTGCCAACATCGAAATAACATTCAGTACTTTTAAAACATACGGATTTTCAAGACATACTTTACCTTCCAAGTAATTACCAGCTTGTAAAGCTACAACCATGGCTATTGCACAAAAGCGGAATATTCTCTCCCGCTTGGACATGTTCTTTCTTCCCCAAAAAGTGATTTACTGCTTTCTAGTCCAAACGGATGCTGATATGACTGTTTCTGAGATGATACCGAAAGATTCATCCATTTTTCAATCCCACGAGATCTGTCTAGTGATTTCAAATGTTTTGTCGATAAACAATATCAATAAATACTCTTATCTAACCGAAATATCCATTTCTAAATCCCAAGTGAAAATGTTACAGTCCTGTCAGTGTGATATCGATAAGCGAACGCATTTATCCTACTAAAACCGTAAAATATTCTAATGTTCTAGATACAGTGTTTAAAAGACCCAAATCGGAACTTACGGTAGGTGTGATCGGAGCATACCTAGATAAAGACCAACTCATCGTACCCTTAAGAAACTCGTCAACAATAAACAGAAATAAGGGTATTGGTATGCTTTATTTGATATCATACCTATTAATTATAAAAAAAAACTGACAACAGAAGCTTACTCCAGACTCACATTTGATGAGACAATGGCAAACTATAAGAAAAAGATATATATATATGTGTGTGTGCAATTCTGTTGATCGTGACATCGTGTTTCATGAGCAATATTGGCGCTTCCTTCACTGAATGAGTACTTTTGGACGGACCACTTTATAAATGACATTTCTCGGTGAAAACTGCATTGGCAACCCCCGTGATTGTACGTGCAAAATTCACGCATTGCGCATGTGTCGGTATGAACATGGTCTTACTATCTCACTTGAAACGGAATAAAGACGTTTCTCTTATGATCGGTTTTTGAATGAGTATGACATCAAACTGGATAGGAATAGGGCCATTTCTGTGAATATATTGTATTTGTCATGTTTTGTTTAAATGTTATGCATTTTGAGGATTAGTCATTATGCATCTTCCCATTTGTGACGTACCATACTTAATGCAATATCATCATTGTGACACGAATTGTAGGTTTTATTTTCTTACCAGTATTAACAGATTGTATGAAACTGAAGGATCTTGTCGAGTTCCTGAACAGGTAGTTAATTGATCCAAAAAATGGAACCTTCATTTAAAGCCCACTACTTCTCACTTTGAAAATGACTGTAAATATTTTACGCTTAGTAGGTCCACCCGAATTTTGAAAAAAAAAAAAAAAAAAAAAACCTCCGCTAAATCAAATTCACTCAAAATAAATTTATACGCTTGATCACTACAATGTTACCTTTATAAGAGTATGGAGAATGGATTTTTTGAGACAATTTGAAAAAAATATATAATTGATAGGAAATATATATTGGAGTAAGAGGCATCATTACTTGTAAGTAAAATAAAGTAAGAGTACAGTGTAGACAGTATTCTAAGTATTATTTTGCTATATAATTTGTAATCATTGGCATTATTTTATTTTATCGTTTATGTAATAACAAAATCGTACTTCTCGCGGATGGTACCTGACTAGTTTTATAAAGTATGTTTTCTACTCACAATAGCTGATACGGTTCATTGAAGACGGACACTGTGGAATCAAAGTTTCTCTGTTTACATCTCTTGTCATTTGCTGTTGATAACTTAGTGCACAGCAACTGTTTTTAAAATACAAAATACTCTCTGTTTCTCGCATTCTTCTTTTAAATTATCTTATTTCAATTTATCAAATGGTGCTGTAGTTTGGTTTTCATTTTTGTAAAAACTATTGTATTTTTTAAGGAAACATATTTACATCAGTTTATTTGCTTCTTTCTGAATCTCTTGTTATTGTTTGTATCATTTGATGTTTTGTATAATATAACTGAAAGTTTATTAAATATTTGACTAAATGGTCAGTGAAAACTTCATTCAAGATCAGTTTAAGGTGTCTAATTTGAAGACGGCTTTCTTTAAGTTTCGTTAATTTTTCCTTTCGTACAGTGTTTTATAGCTAGGTAACATTGATAAATTTTCATTATAAGCTTGTTATATTGCAAAATCTTTACAATATGAACCACGAAAGTAATCAATAGATGTGAGTTGTTTATAGTTTGCCCTGGTTTTATTGATTTAACGTTTATATTACGATTGTGTTCACAGGTTAATATATTTTTTAACTCCTTAACTTTGACCGAAGACCACCAAAGACTAATCAGGTATAGGACTTGATGGAGAATACTTTAGTGTGAACATGAACAAAATGTGTGAAGTGGTTCATGAGATATTTTAATGGAAAGGTTTTCGTTACGGTCGCATGTACTATGCGAGTACTTCATACCCACATTTACCAAGCGAGATTTTATTATGATTTGGTCTGTGTCACTCTTTTCATATGTTATTGTTTGTTTATAAACTGGGAAAATATGTACTTTCAAGGCATATTCAACCTTCCAAGTAATCGGCGAGAAGTAACGTAACAACCACGAACATGACAACAAAGTGATTAGTTCTCTCCCGCTTGGTCATGTTTGTTCCTATCATCAAGCTGTTGAACTGCTTCCTAGTCTAAACAGATGTTGATATGACTGTTGTCGATATTATACTGAAAGATTCAAAGTACCTATACATTTCTCATTGCATAGAGCAAACTGTTGTTATTCCGATGTTATGTCAACATACAATATTAATGAATCATCAGTTTCTAATTCTCAAGAGGAAAATATATAGTCATTTGAGTGTGATATCGACACACAATATTATTGAATATTAATGAATCTAAAAACTGTAGTAAGTTCACATAGTCTAGTCCAATTGGAACCTATTGATTGTGTAGTCGTTATTTCATACCTGACCGATCGTGATCAAACCTTTCTATGGCGACTCCTTAACGATAGTTAAATACAGATTTTCGATAGTCCAAGAGCACATACATTGAGCCTGTGTGGATTTAATGTTTTTTTCCATATTGACTGACATATGTCCACTTTCACGCTTTGATTTTGTTTTTCAATCATGTTTGGTTTTCCCTAGTCGCCTCCTGTAGGTTGCAAAATTCAGCCCCTAAAAATTACTATGTCTAGCTGGACGTTCAGATTTATGATTCAGTTCAATTCATTATTTGTGTATAATGTTCTTTATTATATTGGATTATCTCTGGAAACTAATTCCGCCTCTCTGTTGGCCGACATCTTTCTTTTTTCATACGATGTCGAGTTTGTGGAAAACTTATCAAAATATATTGATGACGTCATGTTTTTAAATAATAGGAGATCTATTTTCATTTCAAAATATGTTATCAAATTCAAAAAGATTTTAGGAAACTTGTGCAACCGGTACTATCTATACATGCCCTCTCCCTTGTAAAACATACATTTCAAAGAATACTATCGTTATAATATAGTCATAAACATATCAGCACTGACTTAATATGTAGTACATTTTAGAAAGGTTTGATAGACAGCTACTTGAAATACACGCTAATATACGTGTTTGTATAATGAGAATGCTGGTAAGATAATTAAAACGTCATTACGCATGCTTGCACATCCTAATTATGATAAAAATATCGATATTTACTATTTTTGTTAAATTACTTTATAGTCGAACAAATAGAAAGTATTATCAGTTAAAGTAAAGTTCGGTTATATATAAATCCTCATCGTCACTCCCACTACATATATCAATAATAGTGACAAGGCAACGCTACAATGCCCATAATACCACCACTGTGTGCTTAATTAGACATTAAAGATTCAGAACAGGAGTCATGTTAAGTGTTTACCTCATTAGTATAGTCTTGAAGACACGTGCATGGCCTGTACACCATTTATTAGACATATTACTGCGTTAATAGTCCCTACCTCTCTGCACAGACTAAACCAAAAATTAAAAGTTATTAAAGAGAAAAGGAATGTTATAAAAAATATCTGTTATATATATATAGAAAGGCACTCGTCATTTAAATGAGAACAAGATATAAAACAATGGAACTAATAGGCAATCAAACATCATCAGCTTCATATCACACAAAGAACACGTCAGTGGCAGTATAATAATAATTCCAAATTCGATCAAACTAGCGCAAAATATGAACAAATGAAGGATTTAGACGAAAACTCATGAAAAAGTATAGATATTTGAATTAGGTGTTCCGAAAGATTTAGCGTCTTCCGCTTCATAGAAGACACCCGCCATGTAAATATTGGTCGATCCAAGTGAGTAATTTCACGTTCTCAGATGAGAACAAGGTATACAATAACGGGACCAACAGGCAAACTAACGAACATAAAGCACGTCCAACCCCATATCGCACATAGAACATTTAAAGATAACACTTTAATTCCTGAATATGAAAATGTTTTATTTTATGTTAATAATATTGGCGTAAAAGATGCGAAAATCACATATTTGAATTGATACCGAATAACCCAATCAGTAAAGTTTTCACTGGTAAATTATTAGATAGGCAACGAAGGTGGAATGAAATTTGTATGAAACGCATGATAATGGAAAGAAATCAGTATAAAATGACTGACACATACCTGACACTGAGCACAAATCAAAATTCATAATGAATGAAACAAATGTCAAAATGAGAAGTCCTTGATAAAGCAAAATATCAGGGCGGTAGAACAATCAAACAAAAACAAAAATCAGCTTGACTTGCACTAAGTCAATGAACTTTTCATTGGGTATTCCCCTGAAGACTTTTTATAGTTTGTGTACAACGTTGATGCGTCGATCAACATAATTGTCCCAAACAAGGCGACTAGGACGCATATCCCTATAACACCGACGGATGTGGCGCTGGGCCTGTTGTCAGGAGCGCTGATACGTTTCCGTCTGGACAAACTGGTGGTGTTCTTGTCTATCTTCAGTTGCTTCTTCAAAGTATTTAGCAGTTCCGCTTTTTCTTCTCTGTTCAATGATGTTGACCCATTATCCCATTTGATACCCGCTAAACACGCTGGGACGTACCCTGCCTTTAACAAGCTTCTTCGGTGGGCAAGCGAGGAGGGAATGATCCCGCGACGACCAGCTGTAGTGTTCAGTGATTTCTCGTCACAGAGGCAGGTTATATTTCCTTTGATGCTTTCTGTAGATACTTTAGTTCCATCGGCTAGGGTAGAG